GAGGAATATTATGCTCTTGTTCTTGTGCAGAGATGTTTCTACTAAACCACTGTAATAAAAGGTGTAACTTGAATGGAATGTCTGAAAGAGAGTACAGAGTGAATTCACTGATCCAGAAACCTTTTGTTAACTAAGGATACATGATGAGGAGAGGTCATAGGAAGAAGAAAAGGCACACACAGAGACTTAATCTCAAAGCACAGAAATCTCTGTAGCTTGTCCATCTTTGGACTTCTTCAGGCTTCCTTTTGGCCTAACACCAGCATTTTCTCAGACTTACTAGCCCCATTTTCTCACTGTGAGCTGACAGAATGCCTTTGGTCAAAGCAGCTTCAGAAAATAGAAATCTCAAAACAGAAGTTGCAATGTAGGACTTAGAGGCAGGGAGAGAGCAAACTGGGAAAGTGGCTAGAATGCTAGCAACTCCATGTTCTTTCATGGCTCTTAAACTTCTGAATGTAGCAGACAATTTGTAGTGCTCCTGAACCTGACCACTTCATACAGAGAAGAAATATGCATAGAACGGCTGTTCTGTGTAAAATGTTATTGATTTTCTGGGTGGGACCTGGAGATAAAGGTTATTTGCACTTTGTGTTTCCTTCAGAGAGATATTTTATAAGTCACAATTTCATGGCAGCAATGATGAGTGGAGAGCTTGCTGTCAGGGTTATAGTTCTACCTATATGTCTCATTCAGCACGTTTTGGAATGAGACTGGGAAGGTAGAAAGGTAGGTGGGGTGGGGCTTCCAGTTGTACCTTGGATGCTCCAGTGAGGGGGGTCTACGTTGATGCAGTCAGTATTCATTGCAGAGTTACAGTCAGGTTGAAAGCAGGAAGTTTCATGGTCATATCTGTTGCATTGGAGCTGACTGGTGGCAGGAGACTACTTAAAAAGTCATGTTAATGGTTTTTATGAGATCTAATGAGATATACAGAGGAGGGGAAAGGTATGTGAAAGATGGAGGTGATCAAGATGCAGGAGTGGCAGATGGGGAAGAGTCACCTGGGGCAGAGGCGGTGGCAACATCAGACTTTGTCAGCTTAGAAATACAAAAATCCTTAGGGTTGACAGCCATCTAAGATGAATAGGACATAAGGTATTGGTAGTAGGGGAGAGAAAGTGGCATAACAGAGATAAAGTAGACCCATTTACGTGGGTGTGCTGTTGACATCCTACATAGCCTTCCTCTTCCATCTCAACATACAATTTCATCTCCAGTTGTACGGAAAAAATAGCAACCGTCATACAGGAGCTCCTTCATTCTGCCGATCACAGTCCCATTCTTGTATTTGTACCCTTCTCCTCCTCGCCTGGTATGTGGAGGGGCTCTCCTTCCTCCTCAGGTTAAGTCTCCACCCTCGCTCGGGAGTCCATGCCCTCCTGCCTTTCCAGGACCCTGTGAGGATCCTCTCCCCTGCACTCCTTCCCATCTGCTTGCACACACGCTCCTATTTTAGCCTCTTCCACTTGACCCTCCCGCCTCTAGATATTGCCCTGTCATTCTTGCACATTGTAGCCAGTGCTCAAGGGTTGACTTTACTTTCTCACCTTCCACTTTTAAGCGCCCACCGTTCCACTAAAAAGTTCTTACCAAAGTTAACTAGGTGTAAGTCAGTCCAGCAGACCTTTTTCTGTCTCCTTACTTGACCTCTCAGTAGACGAAATGCTCTGCATTGCTTTCTGATTTTCTTCATACCTCTCTGGTGTGTCTTCTATGCATAATCATGCTCCTCCTGGTAGCCATTTAATGGCTGGGTATGGGCTCAGCCATGTGCTCTCTCCTTTCCCTAGATGACCCTTCATGCAGCTTCATGACCACCTATAGGCAGGTGAGGCAAATTCCTATCTCTGGCCCAAATGCCTCCTGAGCACCAATCCTATATATTGAACTTGCTGACATTTCTTCTTGGATATGTCTGTGGCCTCTCAAACTCATCATGTTCAAGACTGAATTCATGAGCACCTCCTCCCCTGAAAACCAGCTTTCTTGTTCTATTGCCTATCTCAGTAAACACTTTCACCATCCATCTAGTTGGGAGTTGGGAAACTGGAAGTTAACTCCTCTCTGTCACATTTCCAAAATCTAGTCTGTTACCAAGTCCTGTAGATTTCGCTTCCTAAATACTTCTTGAATCCATCTACTTCTCTCCATCTCTTCTCATACCTTCACAGTGCTCTCTCACCATCCTACCATAGAGGCTTCTTACCCAGTCTCCTTGCACCTTCCTTGTCTTTTTCTGGCTTGTGATGTACACTGCAGGCAGGGCACTCTTGTAGGTAACAGGTGACTAGTCAGTCCACTGGCTCTTGAAAAAATATTTTCCGACACATTTGAACATATTTCAAAGAGACTCAGTCCCCTGTGGGGTCATTTTATTAGTAGACAGTTTGTTTCTGTGCTGAGCCAGAGTCTGCCTCCTTTGAACGTCTCTGCATCAGCTCCTCTCCTGAACCCCCAGCTTCATTGGCACCCTGGGTAGGCACACAATACCTTTTTCATGAGAAGTGAAATCGGGAGCCCTCCTTATGGTGACTGTAAGCATGTACCATAGGTTAAAGAACCGGTGGGGAGTAAGTCATCGAGGCTCCTCCCTTTTCTAATTGGGTGAATTGGGAATTTTGAAACAGGAAGTGTGTCCAGCATGTCCTTGTTCTCAAGGAGCATGCATTCTAATAACGGACAAAAGGGAAAAGGGAAAAAATGACCAGCTGCTCAGATCTCTTTGTACTGTGCGGGTGATTAGCTGTGACCTGTGGATGTGGGTTCCGCCTGCAGCTCTGTGTCCGCTTGTGTGTGATTCGGGGCAAGTCACTCGCCTCCGGGCTTCTGTTTGCTTGTTAGTGTAATGAGGTGGTGCTTATCTACATGATCTTTGCGGGCTCTTCTGTGAAAAAAAGACGGTAGTCCATTTTTCTGGTTTGTAGATAAGGAAACTGAGGTCTGAGGTGTCATGACTTCCTCTAAAGTCGCACAGCTAGTTGGCGCGAATCACAGGCCTGATCTCCTGACCCCCGTGCATCAGTCATTGGGAATCATACTGTAACATGTTCCTTTCCAGAGGCTGCAGGTGGGAACTTGGGGAAGCGGGATAATCAGAATCTTAAGAACAGCCCACAAGATGGCACAATGTCCGTATGCCTTCGTGCCTGCATTTCACCAACAGGGCGCCTCCTACCGTAGAAGAAATTCCGACAGAGCTGGTGATCTGGACTCTCGGCCTGTGGCTTAGCTACAGTAAACGGGACCAGAGGGGAAAGGTGGCTGTTTGAGGTGGACCTTGTTGATGGCAGCCAGAGATGGTGGCTGACAGGAGGAAGAGGGAAGAGTGACAATAGCAGATGGCAGCAGGCAGGCAGGTCAGCCGCTGTTGCCCAGGGTCCCCCACCCCCGGGAGCCCCCTTTGTGTCACAGGAGCTGAGTGCTTACCCTGTAGGTGCTTAGTTTGATGCCACGTATTGATGACAAGATCCCATTCTCTTCCGCATCGGTTTGAGACAGACATCATAATAAAATTCAAATTAGCCAAACATGGAATGTAAGGCTACATCTCATTTTATAGAGAAATTTTCTTATGTGAAATACTTTCCTTGTTGATAGAGGAAATGTAACATCAGACAAAGGTTATCTGATTGGCACTTGGTAAGAAGAGGTTCCGGCAAAAAGAAGTGTTTTTTTGTTGTCCATGCTTTTGATTTTCCTTTCTTTTTTTTTTTTATGTGAGCGATCATCTGATTTATAAAAAGATGCAACAAAATTTAAAGTGATACAAAATATCAGTTTCAAAACATCAAAAAGTGAGTGTATTTAACCATAGCTCCTAACAGGAGATGGTTAAGTAGAATAATTCATGCGATAGCATATTGCTTGTATGAACTGGCAACAGAAAAAGTCGGTAAAGGAAGGCTGAGGAACTCTGTTAAGAATTAGAACCGAGGGGCTCCATCATCATCAGGCATTCACTCAGTGTTGTACCTATAGTTAGAAATGTCCATGATGGGAACTCCAGGGATCTTCTGGATCTGGGTCAACTGATGCCACAATGTAACTGAATTACTCTGAATTACTTCTGTACTAAGCAGTCATCTGCGTAGGTTCCCTTCTGTGTAGGTGGTAATTGAATCTTGGATCCTTGGCAATCCTTAGAGCCAGTGGATACTTTTACCCAGTTTCTCAGTTTCAACCATTACACAGGCAGTTATACAACGGATACACTTGGCATACAGACCCGTCCATCATTGACGGTACCAGGTCAAGTTTGGCTTTAATGGAAAAGTTGATAAAGTCGGTATTAACCAGGATGTGGTAAGGTGGCCCAGCTGTGTGTTTATATTGGAGGAAGAAACAGGAAGGGTGTTGGGGGACTTCTCTTTCCTTGAGTGAGCTGGGATCTTTTCTTTCTTTTTAGGTTTTAATCTGACCTTCTCTTTAAGCTTCTGATCTCGGAGCTAAGCATTTGCTTCATGGTCACATACTTTGTTTTCTTTTGCTTCCCCATGTTCATGCCACACTCGTTTCTCCTTGCTTTTGATTTCCTAATTCACTCTTTGTAATATTATAAAACTTATCATCTGAATAAAATGTTGGCTTACTGAGTTACTGATTATTAGTAATTTCTTTGTTCAAAATTTGAGAGCAGGAAGCATTATGTAAATATATCTTTTTGTTATTTAACTAGTCTTATAGCATTTAGCATCAAATTTCTTGAAACATTTAAACAAATCAATCACAAACCAGGGCTTGGGCTTTTTCTTTTTTTTTTAAGATTTTATTTTTAAGTAATCTCTACACACAACGTGGGACTTGAACTCACAACCTCGAGATCAAGAGCTGCACACTCCACTGACTGAACCAGCCAAGTACCCCTTGGGCTTTTTGTTTTAAAGTTCCTCAGGTGATTCTAATGTGCAACCAGTGTTGAGAACTCTGGAACTAGATAATTCCACTTAATAGCTCGAGAAAATTAAATTGGGAAAGCAAACTAAAAGCCTGTGTAGATTATGATTGGTGTTAAATTGAGGGGAAAAGGAGAGATAAAGAGAAGAAATCAGCTGGAACAGAGTGTAATTAGGTGCTCAAATATTTGTTAGATGGATGAATAAATTTACAGAATATAGGTTTTCTTTGTCTCTTCATAAGTATGTCAAAAGGTATATAAATTCAGCAAAGGAGTTAGATACAAAATTGATTAAAATGTTAGAAGTACCTTAGAATTTCAGTGTTAACTATTTCATGATACTTTTAAGATGATCTCTCTGTAGATGGTGGGAAGAACTCATTAGCATATGTTTTTTAATTTCTCAAGCTTGAATAATTTAGTCGCCAAATAAAGATTTAGAATGAGTTTTGGGAGACACAAGTCCTAGATTATGTCACCACCTACCTGGGTGAGAGATTTGAGGGCAGGGGCGGGAGGGAAGAGCTCCAGGGACATTTTTGCACACATGCTGATCCCTCAGGCAGGAGCACTCTTCCCCACACTTCCCACGGCTAGCTCCTTTGTGTCATTTGAATCTCAACTCAGATATCATTGTTCTATAAGTGTCTTTCCTGGTCATCCAAGTTGAAGTACATCCCTTTTGTCACTCACCTTTATGGTGTCCTGTTTTCTTTTTAGCTTTGATCACTATTCATTAATATTATGTTTATTTGCTTACATGTTTATTTTCTCATTTCTGCATTAGGAATATATGCTCCTTAAGAGCAGAGACCTTGTCTTTCCTTTTCATGACTGTGTCCCCACGTCTTAAAGAGGAGCTGGAGTTGCATGATAAATACGTAATATTTAAGGGATATACAGGGGCATTTACTCATCTCTTTTGTCCATTGGTCTTCAAGAATGGTTGGAAACACACACACACACACACGAGCTCACACTAACTTTTTATGTCTTTCAACCCCTATGTAGTGTGCAGGTTAATGCTTAACTATTTTGTTTTTTTGTCTCAATGAAATGGGACATGTTTTAGGGCAGAGATCATAAATTTCATGTGCCCTCTTAGTATTTTGCATAATTACAGATACAGCGTGATGGTGCCAGGGGGATTCTGGTTCTGTTGTGGAGATAGTATGCAGTGATTTTATAAGTCCATGTATTTGGGGGGGAGTGTTTTACTTCTTGGCGGCTTAGAGAACTTTGATCTTTCCAAAATTCTATGTAATTTTCGTGGTGTTAAAAATACTAATATTTGGATTTTTGTTAAGTTTTAAATGATTAATTCCCAAATTATTTTGAATTCATCTTTGTTTGCCGTCCCTGAATGCAACTAGTTAGTAAAGTAGCTAAACTTTTAAACTCTATTTGGTTTTAATTTTGAGTGATGTCACTGCTTCTCTGATAGTTGATGGTACTTAAATTGCCTGCAACTTGTTTGGTTTGGTGATTTCTTTTCCTGTATTCCAACACCTCTTGTGATCTCACAACTTCTGGCCTTTTGGGGGATTTGTACTTTACCTGGGTTCAAATAGGAAATAACCCTGAGTACAAAGAGAAGCTATTTTTTTTCTAATTTCAGTATCTCCTATTATTAATGTCTTACATTGTTGTGGTACATTTGTTACAACTGATGAACCAGTGGGTGCCTGGGTGGCTCAGTTGGTTAAGCGACTGCCTTCGGCTCAGGTCATGATCCTGGAGTCCCGGGATCGAGTCCCACGTCGGGCTCCCT